TTCTAAGTCCTGCACTGGGACTGGAAGCCAGTTCCCCTGATTTAATGTTCTCTCAGTTTGCCAACATCATTTTTGTGCAGTAACTCACTCTTGTGAATCATGAATATTGCGATTTAATTATCCTACATTTATCAGGGACCCAGGAATATAAAAGTTAGTAACAGGGCAAAAGTTCATTGCACTAATCGTAGAAAATATGAAGGTCCAGATTTATTGGATAAAAAATGACTTTATTAGAAAGGGTTAATTAGTTCTGAGATGAAATACAGTTTTTATGTCATGGTAGAAAGCTAATTTTATGAGTTTGCCCCATAGAGAGAATAAAATAAAATGTTGGTCACTTTTTGCAATTTATGAATTAGTAGCTCTTCACTCCTTGACATCTCCAGGGAACAGTTTTCAAGTAAATTTTTCTAACAGAGATTTTGTTCTTTACCTCTCACATTAATATACTCAGGCATATTTTTATTAGTAAAAGAAAATCAGTTATAAACAAACCCTAGAGAAAACAAAATAGAATATGTGCTTTTTGAAATGACTAGACAGGAATATATAGATAATCATTTCCTAGTAAAACAGATTTCACTTTATTCTTTTCTCATTCTCTTTGTTGTTGGTTTCACATTCATATCTCTCACTATAGACTGTGTCTATAATTACATATATTTTATTAAAGTATTGAAATAATCTCTATAAGCTCTATGACAATTTATCATATATGTTTATGTGTATCAGCTTTAGATTAACTATGGATATGTAAGTGATTGTGTTTAAAAGGATCAACTTTTAGGGGCACCTAGGTGACTCAGTCATTTGAGTGTCTGACTCTTGGTTTCAACTCAGGTCATGATCTCTGGGTCCTGGGATCAAGCCCCCTGTCAAGCTCTCTGCTCAGCAGGGAGTCTGCTTTTCTCTCTCTCTCTTTCTGCCCTGTCCACCCTCATGCTCTCTCTTTCTCTCTCTCAAATAAATAGATAAATCTTTAGAAATAAATAAATAAAGGCGTCAACTTTTAAGTTATATGAGAAATAATGGAAATAGATAGATCTAAATATATAAAAGTATATGGGGTGCCAGGGTGGCTTATTCTGTTAGGCGTCTGCCTTCGGCTCGGGTCATGATCTCAGGGTCATGGGATCAAGCCCCACTTTGGGCTCCCTGCTCAGTGGGGAGCCTGCTTCTCCCTCTCCCACTCCCCCTGCTTGTGCTCTCTCTCTCTCTGTCAAATAAATAAAATCTTAAAAAAAAAATAAATATGTAAAAATTTAGCATAATAAAAATGAAATGAAAATTAAAAGAAATATGACCACTTGGGAATATATATTCATTCACTGACTAAGAACAAGTAGCTTAATTTATGATTGTGATTTTTAACTTGGGATTTCATAGTAATAGAACCTTCTGCAGAGAAGTCAGTGAACCCCATGAAACTGTGTGTAAATATGTCTGCATAGGCATTTTTTATATATAGAGAGATCATTATTTTTATCAGATAATCAAATGGAGTCCACAACTTGAAATATTTAAGAACTGATTTATAATCTCATTCCAATTATTTGTAAAATATCAAGCGCTCAATAGATACATGAGCAGAGGATATAAACAAGTATTTTGACAAAAGTAGAAACATGCAGAATAAATTTTGAAAACATGTCCTACTTCATTAGTAATTAAACAGATTCAAATTAAGATGAGCATCAACTATCTCCTTATATCTAATAAAGCAGCAATCACTTTAAAAATGAAAGCAACAAAACTCCTATCAGTAGCATAACCTTATTCTTTCTAGTACCACTAAAAATTGGTATGGCCATTGGGAAAGCAATATGACAACATTTAGTAAAAGCCATAAAAGTTGTTGGTTTTTTTTTTTTTTTTTAATGCTGACCCAGTAATTTATTCTGGGACAATTATACACCAGAAACTGAAAGAGAGTGCATGAAGATGTTCATTACAGTGGAATCTCTCATAGCAAACGAAAAGAAATGGTAGCCCATATGATATTTATGATAAAATAAGCTTTAAAAGGCAGAATATTATTGTGGCTGTGTAAAATACATGTTTATGGGGATTGTAATGAGTAGACACACAACTTTGGGGTGATTTTTAAAATATTAATTAATTTTAAAATTAATTTTTCTCTTAATGAATTTAATTATTTAAAAAAATTTCCATAAGGTTAATCTATGGCAAAATTGAACACTAAATATCAACTAGTAAATATAAGAACATTATTATTTAAAATATTAACAAATGAATTATCTAACATCTTAAGGATGGTTCAGTTTTCCAATCTGGATAAATCTGGATAAATCCATGTAGACATTCAGGCTGTAGACTATAAAATTCCAGGATGTCATTCACATTGATTACAGCATACATGGAATTCCTTGGGTTTAAAATAGAGGCTCTAAAATCATGGTTATTTTGTATTTGTGTTAATACATTCAACTTTTATGACTTTAATTATTTTATGCCATTCCATATTATCTAGGCAAATATAATGTGAACTGGTTAACGTGAAAAGCCATGGATTTTGATTCAAATAATCTATATCAGGTTCATCTGTGTCACTTACTAGCCTTATTCCTTCTGAGCTTGTATTTTTTTAATGGATAAAATGGCAAACTACCTATGGATTGAGATGACATGTGAAACAGCTCTGAACAATAAGACACTAATAAATGATATACATTTTATAATGATAATAAAGCCAGTTATATTAATATTTATCATGTTCAAGAAAACAAATGTTATATAGCAAAATAATACATAAGTAGGTAATTCATTAAAGGGGTATTTTTATTGTATTAAAAGCAAAAGAAATAAAAAAGAAGACCTAGTGAGATATTTATATGACAAAATTCGCCTTCAGTATTATTGACACAATAGATACATACTATTTTGCACATAATGTCAAGGTTTCCCTCCTGCCTTCAAGGCCTATCTAAAAATCACTCTTTGTATATATAATTGAAACCAATAAAAATATTGCTTTACTACCTACTTTTACGTGAAACACATCTTTTCAAATGTCTTCCTATTCGACTTTTAGTGAAGATGGTTGGGCATGTTTTACAACCCTTAAATGTGTGCTTTCAGATGACTCATTTACTCTCCCATGTCTGACAGGATTTGCATGCACATGTAGGAAAAAAATAAGTTGAATTGCAAATAATATCATTAACATAGGAAAATGTGTATCTATCATTGAGAAATTAATGTACTGGCAAGTCTCCCTGCAGCAAGTCCGTAAAAATGGTTAAAAGTTGACCTTCTGAGGGGTGCCTGGGTGGCTCACTTGGTTAAGCCTCTGCCTTTGGCTCAGGTAGTGATCCCAGGGTCCTGGGATCGAGTCCCACATTGGGCTCCTCTTCTTCTGCCTGCCACTTGCCCTGCTTGTGCTCTCTCTCTCTCTCTCTCTCTGTCAAATAAATAAATAAATAAAATCTTAAAAAAAATTTTTTTTTAAAGTTGACCATTTGAAATGTTCTGTTTATTTATTTTATTATTATCAAAAGGGTAGTATTGAATTTAGGGAATATATTAACAAAAGGCTAGACGTGTTTCAGAAGCTATTACTATCTATTTTTATTGATTCACACTGTCAACAAAGAAAAAACTTCCATATGGTAGCTATGATTTATCCTGTACTGTATGGGTAATGCTAATATTTGGCCACATGCAGTATAGTTTGTGGGACTCACACAAATAAGAAGAAAGTATATTGTGATGCTAAGTAAAATTTTCTCTTCTAGAACAGTTTTAGGTTTATTATTTATCCGCTGTTATTTCATATCACTTAAGAGTATCTACTTATAGATTAATAATGTCCTTTAACGATAAACGGATTTTCTTAGTACGTGGATACCTTTGTCATGGGAAAATGATTCTTTACTATGGATCATCCGTTTTCAGGAAAAGCAGTTGAGATTTACTGCTGAAAAAGAATCCGAGAGCAAATGAGGTTATTTTGTCAGGACATTTCAATAAGGGTTCTTTTGACTCAGTGTAAATAAAATATAAAACCTCTCCATTTTAAGTCTCTCTCAGATGCACTCATTTATTGAACATTAATTAATATGATTGCATTTACAGTAATTTAAAGGTAGGCTTTGGCTTTAAAGAAGGATTTCCATTAATCAAGATTGATTATTTTTCTGCCCATTTAACTCCATGCTAATTTCCAACTTGAAAAAAAAAAGAGATAATTTTTAGAAGCATGAATTCTGTGAAGCTGTTTCTTAATAATTTTCCACCGTAATCTCTTGGTGTAAGAAGTCCTTGGAGATTTTTCCTCTGAGTGTTTATATGTAATCCATGAGTAATCCATGAAGGGTGTCATTTGCATTTTGATTTGAAATTTCCTGACTTTTGGATGAAAAGATTTACTAAAAATTTTGGAGTTGTAAGATCCCCCCTCCTCTAAAGCATTTGCATGTTTATCAAATATTTGCTGAACTCTTAGTTTGTGCAGACAATGCTAGGTTCTGGGATGCAAAACCATGCTCCTGATCATCAGGAAACCTCTCCTATAATGGGAGGAGGTTATGCTGGGGGCCCATGTTAGAGTATGGAGGTATTGCAAAAGAGGGGAAAATCATTTTTACATGGACTGGGAAGGGTATAAGAGGAAAAGCTCAGGAATACTTTTTCAGAAGAAAAAACAGATAATAGGCTCTTCTGATTATGCTAGAGTATCTATTCACCATAGGAGGATAAGTAATATTTCCTTTATTCAGATGAAACTACTCTTCTGTAATGGCTTTATATAATATTTGAATGAGCATAGATTTGACTGTATCAATTATTTTAGACATCTCATTTTTAGTTTAGATGCCCAATACCAATATCACTTATGTTTAATTTCATTATCAATTAATTTAATACCAAATATAAAATAACATTGATATGTAATAATTGAGAGTTATTTTGGTTGTAAAATATGATATTCAGAATTCTTTCTTAACTCTTGAATCTTTTTTAAATTTTCGTTATAGATGAAAGAGAAGATGTTCAAAAGAAAACATTCACAAAATGGATAAATGCACAGTTTTCTAAGGTAAGAATATTTTGATACTTCTCTTTAAGATATAAGGTAAGTGACTGACTTTCAAAATGAACTATGTACCTGTGTAAATTTAAATGTCCATATTGTTTTTTATCGTAGTGTCATTGTTTTAGCTGTGCAAATTTGGGAACATTATGTTGACTTTTAATTAAGGAAGAAGCTGCAGAATATATGTAAAGAGAAATTATTTAATTAGACAAAATGCATCTTTGAATCTTAATGATAATATGAGTTTCTTCAATTGCATCAGTCATCCAAGGATTATAGCCACAATCTTCCACCAAGTAGCTAGTATATGTCACACATTAGCAGAAGATATGAGGAATTTTTACTGTCTGAAAGTGATAATATTTTTGTCCTTCTCAGTCTTTTACTGTCTGAAAGTGACAATATTTTTGTCCTTCTCAGTTTTTCCTAGTTCAGAAAAAACTGATATAGCTGCCTTGGGTCTATTTGGCCCCTATCACTTAGGGCATGTGTCAAATAATTTAAGATAAGAAGGTTATCCTCTTTTTCTGCAGGCATCAACCCATACTATTAATAATATTTATTTATTTTACACATGCAACTTAATTTATTATCCATAGACAGCACAACTCTGGATAATTATATGTGAACACAGAGTAAAATATTCTTACCTTGAAAACTAGCATTAAGAGTACCATGTAAGGAGGTTTATATACATTTTGAGGTTAGAAAGACTTGGATTTGCATTTAATTAACTCTGAATTTGGGCAAATCAAATGCTCTGTGAATCATTTTTATACAATCATGTATATGTGTACACATATATATTGAGTGTCTACCTAAAGAATCAACTCCCAATAATGGAGATATAAAGCTGATAAAATATGGTCCCTATATTCAAGCTTTAAGAGAGGCAAAAATGGCTGATAATGGTTATTTCATGTGATTGTGAGGATTAACAGGGTCAAGATATGTGAAAATTCCTACCACAATGCCTGACAGTCTTAATAGATGTGGATCACTCTCTCCATGGGTCTGTCTTATTTTATAAAAGTTTTGGTAATGAATCCAAAACAATCCACTGGGAGATGCAGTATAAAAAGTGCTCCCATTACTATTACAAAAGGTTTTCAAGTATCATCCATTGTTTGTGGTATTTGATAGCAGAATTTTGCCAGGTAGTCTTTAACATATTAGCAAGAAGTTATGTTACTGAATTTTAACTAAGCAAATTTCATTTATATTTACTTACTGAATTAACAATTAATAAATTGCTATTACAGAACTTTATTTTTTTATCATGTTCAGTTAGCCATTACAGAACTTTAAACAATAACCATAAAAAAGGAACACCTATTTTAAAAATCTCAACTTTTTTTGAACGAAGTGAGTAGAAATAATTTAAAAAATTGTAACACTAATGAAGGAGAAGAAATGAAAACTAAACTCATAAATATGTACAATAGGAATTCCTAATTCCCAGAATATTTACCAGATGGATGTATATGTTTTAACTGCTGTATCTTTTGGTCTCATTAAAATCGTCTTAATTTTGGAAGTTCGAAACAGGCAATAGATATAAGCTTTCAAACAAATATACAGACAAATCAGAATCATAAAGAGAATTTTTTGAAATAATAAATGTGACATAATACTCTGAATCTTTGAATTAAACCAATGAGTTGTTTTAATAAGGTGTGTAGATATAACTGAGACAAATACTGCAAATTCTCATTCCCACAGATCTAAATAGGTCATTACTCTCTATACATTGACATTTCAAGTATCATTTACCACAACTCACATGCTAATATATAAACCATAGTTTGATATGCTGTCTTCTTTGAATACATTGTTGGCACTGCCTTAGAGCAATTTTTCCCTACCCTTATGAGTGCCCATATTTTAAAGGCTGAGAAATAATTACATGCATGAGTGCATTGACTGTTTTTTCATAAGTATCCCCACCTTCAAATCCAACTTCTACTTATTTCATTTATTTTATAAATGTTCTTCCTCAGCCTATTAAAATTGGATCAGGAGAGCCACCAAAGTTTCATATTTGGGCATATAGTAGGTGTCAGGAATAGAAATAAATGTTTATAAAGACAGAGGAAAAAGTATTTAGAGATAAAATTTATATATGTGTGTGTTGATTTTTCATTTAGAAAACCTGAAAATATATTTTCCATGTTATCTGATTTTTTCTTGTCAAGACTTCAAGTGATGACTAAATTTTTATATATACTTTTGAGAATTAAGAAAAAGCTAATTGATTCAGTTTAAGCCCATTGATGATACCAAAAGATAAACATAGCTGAGATATGTCACTTTGCACATGTTTATTGTGTTATAACATGGCATTCAGCAGAATTTCAGGCCTGTAGGAGACACAAGATTAGTTTAAGTTGAATCTTCAGATCTCATGGAACCTACATGTTTGGGAGATACTGGATAATTGCTAAATGGAGTAGCAGAGGGGGCAGTACTCCGGGCTAGAATGAATCTGAAAACTTGTGTGAAGAAAGCTGTACTGCCCAAGAGACTCTAAAGGAAAGATCATCAAAGAGCAAAACACTCTTCACTGAGATAATTGGAAACCACTGAAGGCAGGAATATATGTTTTCTTTGTAACCCCAGTGATCAGTACCAGTGCACTAACTAAATATACTAAATGCATTTTGGACAATAGTACAGAAATTAAGTATATGCTAAGTTTAAGGAAAGAGGAAAAATTTTGAATGAAAAAGAATGTGTTGAAGAAGACTTTAAAAAAAGAAAAAGCAATGAAAAACTATCATCTGTGTGGTAAATTAGTCAAAGAGAAACACACACAAACATTAATAAAAATGAATAGGATGACTTAAAATGTTTAACAGTGAGGCTCACACACATTCATTTATATAATATTTGTAAAATAAAAAGAGACTGCAAAGTAGTTCCCTGTTTTGATGTAAAGTTACATAAGGGATATTTAGGGGGGGAAATATGATTAAATAAAGCCTTATTGTGGCTTTATTTGGCTTATGAAGCCAAATGTATCTTTGTAGTAAATCCAACTGATTTTTCCACTTTCCTAGTACCATTTTAAAATAGACCCTATCTCTTCTTCAAAATAAGTCTTCTACTAACCTTCAATTCCAAAATTCTTACTAGAATATGATTTATCACATCTATTCTATAAAGATAAACAAACATTTTTTATCTCCACATAAACACAAAGCCATTGCTATGTAATATTAATTCAAGATAAGTATTCTTTTCGTGTAATTTGTAGATATTTGGTGAAAAATTTTTGTAGTAAAAAATGTTTACTGTTTATGACGAATATAATTTACATAAGAAGAACACAAACTTATTTCAGGAAAGTACACTTGAAATTATGACCAAAATAATTTTGTCATAAAACTTGCTTGATGTTTGTGTTAGAGAAAAAGCAATCTGTGGGGGAAAATATTTACTACTAGATCAATTGAAAGATTTAAAGCATCTCCCAATGAGTTATATGATTGTTTTGATCCTACATTGGATTTAGTGATTATTTTTATCTCTATACTCTAACTACACTTTTCTGTATGATTCTTCCAAAAGTAGTAGACAACTTGGTATTTTATTTAAATGAAGTAGAAATGTGTAATTAATTTTGTCTATGAACTTCACAATGGCCTATGATATGATAACACATTTATGTCTTCATTGCCACAACATACGTACCTATACCTAAAAAGCCAGATTTTACCCTCTTGGGATAATGATAACACAAGATAGAATTAACTGGTGTAACATACTTTTCCCAAGAATTTATCATTATTTATATCCTAGCCAGCATGATAAGCATGATGTCATGCAAATTAACACCAAAACTGTGAGTCAGTAAACCAGGCTTCTTTACACAACTCTCTATCATGAAGCCTTAGAGGAAATCATTATATCCACACTTGAATTCATTTTGGAAAGAAAGGTAAACATAAAATAAAAAATTCTTTTTGTTTTCCTTGTATGTCCATGTCTACTTTATAAGAAAACATATTAAAAGAGCTTTATAAATATTAAAACATAAACATAAAATATTGCCATTTTTGTTACTGGGTAGTATATTTGCTGAATTGAAGGAATTGTATATTTATGAAATTTTCTTGGATGCCAGCTCACTTCTTTCTTGAACATGGTTTTGGCTACTTTCTTTGGATGGAACAGGGAGGATAGAACATTTATTTATGTTTTATTATCCTGCTACACTCTCTATGCCAATCCATGCTCCCACACACACATACACACAAACAGGCATGGACACACACTCAGTTTAAAATGAATCAAACAGTTTCATTATGCAAAAGGAAGATAATGAGACTTAGAAGGAAAACATTGTTTCAGTGATAGAGGTAATAGTATGTATACATTTCCTCTGTATCAGTTTGAAACTTACACATAACTAACAAATTTATATAGGACTTCTACTCAAAGGGCTTGATTTAACAGAGGTGATAGATTAGAACTATTGTGTCATGGGAGGGTCATTGTATATATAAAATCACCATTATGCCCCTGGCTTCCTGTTTCTCCCTACTATTTGATACCGGAAAGAATTAGATTACTATAGAAGATGAAGGGGAGTGCACTATATCTCTGGATCATGATAAGCAGCTATTGGGGAGAAAATTTTTCTTTGACCTTCAATGTTCTTCTGGCTGGTCTAAGAATTAAATTGATATAAGACAGATTAACAGGAGAAAAAACAAAGGTAAATTACATGCACAGGGAAGACCAATGATAAAACTGAGATCCAAAGAAATGACCAAGGCCTGCAGCTTTTATACATTTTAGACAAAGGAACTGACAGGATAATGAAAACCTATGTTTGGGAGCTTCAATTGGTAAGGAATTCTACAGAATTGGGGTTGAGGTGGTAAATTAGTAAAAGAATAAGGTTTGTTTATATCGCATCTTGTTTATATAGCTTTTTTTAATTTTATTTTATTATGTTACGTTAGTCACCATACATTACATCATTAGTTTTTGATGTA